GCTCACTGCAACCTCCACCTTCCGAGTTCAAGCGATTCTCCTGCCTCAGCCTCCCGAGTAGCTGGGATTACAGACACCTGCCACCACGTCTGGCTAATTTTTTGTATTTTCAGTAGAGACGGGGTTTCACCATGTTGGCGAGGCTGATTTGGAACTCCAGACCTCAAGTGATCTGCTTGCTTTCACCTCCCAAAGTGCTGGGATTACAGGCTTGAGCCACTGCGGCCAACCCTTTCATTTATTTTTTGTACTTTTCCTATATTCAGAGCAAGGTAATAAAAAGATAAAGTTCATGGAATTTTTTTTTCCAACTGGAGATTCTTAGAAAGAGGAAAAGCAGGCTAAAGTTCTTCAGGTGGTCACTATTCTAAGGCAGATCCAAAAGGCTTCCCTGTAGCCACAGGTGTGGGCTTTGTGGAGAGAGATTTTTTTTTGTTTTTTCTTGTGCAAAAGGTGCAGTTTGAGTGAAGCCTCAAAAAGGGGTTGGAAGCCACTTGTGTGTTTTCTCTTTCCTTTGTTGGGGGTTTAAGCATGTACTGAGAGGAGCAAGCGTTTTTAGACAATGATGCATACAGATTTTGTTTCTCATTATCCACAGTCCTTAGCACACATGTCACACGGCATCAGCCACCAGGGACATGCAGTGGGGTCAGTTGGGTCTGTTCCGTGTGAATTTACTCCATAAAGTGATTCTAGGACTGTCTTCTCCAGGACGACGGGCTGACGTTGGATACAGAGAGCAGGGAAAGGAAAGAGTAAATTCTTCAGCTTGGTTTTCCATGGCTTTGCCCTACTCTTCCAACACCAACCTCCAAGACGTGGCCCCCAGGGCTCTCCCTAGCCTCATGGCTTTCCACTCACAGGACACTAAGACGCTGGGGTCCTCCCTCACCACAGGGCCTTTGCACAGGCTGGTCTTTCTGCCTGGAAAGTGGTTCCCTTCTGAGGATCTCTTGCCTCAGCCTTCCAGAGTGCTGGGATTAAAGGCATGAGCCACTGCCCCCAGCGGTAAGTTTAACATTTTAAGACACTGTGTGTGGTTTGCTTTTCACTCCAGCAAGATGTGATGAGGATTGCTAACATGTTATCAAGTGTGCTTTCAGTCTTTCAGGACAAAAGACAGTTGGGAGTGTGGTGGAAAGGCAGTTCAGGACAAGAAGGAGAGTTCTGATTACATTTTCGTTTCAGTGTTTCCCTGAGAAACAGCAGGTCTCAATCCCTTCACTTTCCAGTTCCTATTCTCCCCCTCACACCACACAGTATCCACTGCTGACTCGGTATCCCCTACATAATCCCACTGGGTTCTTCAGTACTGAAAAGCTAGTAATAAGGTGAAGGTGGCCGGGTACAGTGGCTCGCGCCTATAATCCCAGCACTTTGGGGGGCTGAGGCGGGCAGATCACGTGAGGTCAGGAGTTTGAGACCAGCCTGACCAACATGGTGAAACCCCGTCTCTACTAAAAATACAAAAATTAACCTGGCATGGTGGCTCATGCTTGTAATCCTAGCTATTCAGGAGGCTGAGGCAGGGAATCGCTTGAACCCAGGAGGCGGAGGTTGCAGTGAGCCAAGATCGTGCCATTGCACTCCAGCCTGGGTCACAGAGCAAGACTTTGTCTCAAAAAAATAAAAAATAAAACTTAAACAAAGAAATTTAAAAATAAGGTGAAGATTGAAGTTTATCTACGATCCAGCACATTCTGCTCCATATATACCTTCAACCCAAAAAAGAAAATTCTGCAAAATGCAAATCCCTAACCAATTTGTCTCTATTTTCCTCAGGGGACACTTAAACTGGCTTCAACTAGATCGAAGAGTATTGGAACATGACTTCCCTAAAAAGTCGGGACCTGTGGTTTTATACTTTTGTGTCAGGTATGTACACCTGGTGTCTATACTTTTGCTTCTTTGTGTTCTTTATCAGAAAAGTCTGGGAGGGCAGAGTGATTCCGTGGAATGAGAGCTCAAGTTTGTCTTGGTTCATCGCCAGAGATAAAGGTTGTAGTAGAGCTGCGTGCCTCATAGATGGAAACACGGGGTGCGAGGGTGCAGGGCGTGCCTGTGAGTGTGCCTGTGAGTGTGCAAGGACGTGTGTGTTATGCATTTGCACTAGGATGCTTGTGTGGAATGATGAGAAAAACTTTTTTCTGCCTTTTTGGGGAGGGTCATATATCTCAAACAATGAATCTCTTATAGCACAGGCCGTGGGATTCTTTCTTGGGTGCAATTTGAAACTACATAACAAAAGCCTTTGTATCCTTTCCTTTCAGAAGGGATGCCACTTGAATCTCGTGAAACTTGGGTAGTTTATCCCAAATAGGAGTAGTCGAAACCCAGCAGCAAACCACAGGCCCATCTGCATTTCCTGCCAAGGGAGGATACAGTTTAATAACATATCAGAAACAATAGGCATTTTTCTATTCATAAATCTAGTCTCAGAAATTTTGTTTTGTGCTTGCAAAGGGAACTATTTGTGGGCTATAGTGATTTAAATAGTTACTATTTGCAGCAGTCTTATGAAGACAACAGGACTTACTACTTCTGTTTGCAAAAGGTTCTGAGAAGCCGGAGGCTGGGCAGGTCAGGGGTTCAGGGGCAAAGTCTGAATTGGTAGCAAAGTCAGAATCTGAGCCCCCAATCCAGCAGCTCCTAAACACTCAGTCTGTGGAGCCACCAGGTTCTTTCTCTCTAGAACCTTGACTAACACAAGTACAGAAGCATTAAGTCCTGATGCCTCAGTCTTTACATGGACACTAACACTAAACACCCAGGCCATACACTCTGTTCTTTTAAAACATACTAACAGAAATTCAGGAGCGAGACACGAATGATATGCAATTCTGTCGTTCCTAAAGAGCACGATCAGGAATGCAGTTTCAGACATAGACATCCTTAAGCTGCACAAGGCATTAGAAGAGCTTCAAACAAGAGTTAAAGGGTCCACTTAACAGGCTCGAGTGTATGACTTTTCCTTAGCTGGCAGAGTAAATTTCAACTTGCGCTTAATGCGTTTTTTATTTGTTTAACAGCTGTGAACATATCCAAGCTCATCTTAGCTATTTCCATTATTGGTGGGAATGATTTCAATGCCATATTCTCTTTAAGGGTGTATACAGTTTCTCAGATTTATGGCAAAGCAACCATATAAAGCAAAGAGTAACAATTCCGCTGGGAGGGACAGGTGGTATCAGGCAGGACTCCAGTTTCATGGAAGCAGGTCATTAACCTGTCATCGCAGGTGGATGAGTGCATTTACCATATATCAGGCTCTCCCCACCTCCCTGGTGATGTTCACCAACGTTAGCCAAGAGGAGAAAATCTTGGGCTTGGCTGCCTAGTAGGTGTTTTATTCCAATTTGTGGGGGTCCTTGCAGGAGAGCTTGGGGCGCCTTGACATTGATGCTGGATGTGTCATTCTCTAAGATACACAGGTCTTTCCAAATCACTCCAAGCCTGTCTTCTCTGCATAAAAGCAGGTAACCCAGCATTGCAGAAGTGAAATAGTTGCTAGCAATAGAGAGAATTGGGGAATGGGATGGCCAAAGACCGAGATATAACATCTACTTCTGATCCACAGCCATGACAGACACTTCCACCATCACCACCCTTTTTTCTAGTCGGCCAAAGCAGGAACCTCAAAGAACATTCATTCGAGAGAAAAATTTCCAAATCCACATTTAGGGACCGCCATTCTCCACTATGTCTTTATACACGCCACCTAGCAGAATGCGCTCCTCCTTCTCCAGCTCCTATGGAAGCGAATCTTTCTGGAAATGTCACATTCCAATTGCCTCCTGCAGCCCCACCTGAGTACTCCAAACTCAGCAGGTCCAAAGCCAAATTTATGACCTTCTCTCTCCTCCTTTAACCTTCCATGGTCCCATCAAATCTGTGGCATCGTCATCTACTCAGTCACATAGGCTACACATCTTGAAGTCTTCTGTCCTCTTCCTGGAATTATTTATTTATTTATTTATTTATTTATTTTGAGATGGATTCTCTCTCTGGCGCCCAGGCTGGACTGCAATGGCATGATCTCGGCTCACTGCAACCTCTACCTCCCAAGTTCAAGAGATTCTCCTGCCTCAGCCTCCTGAGCAGCTGGGATTATAGGCACCCACCACCACACCCAGCTAATTTTTGTATTTTTAGTAGAGACGGTGTTTCACCATGTTGGTCAGGCTGGTCTGGAATTCCTGACCTCCGGTGATCCATCCACCTCGGCCTCCCAACCTAGAATTTTTATGTGCATTAATTCTCTGCTGCTGCTTCCAAAATCTCCCTCTGCACTGCCCTCTCCTCCTCATTGCCTGAACTCAGGCCCTCACCAGTCAGTTGACCTATTGCAGCAGCCTCCAAGGGTGGGGTGGGGGGTGTCACCAGCACCCTCACTACCCTGAGTTCCCACTTCTTAGCTGTCCAAGAAGTGCAGTAACAAAACACCAATCATTTGTTTTCTCCAAGAGAGGAGGCAGATTCTCTATATAGGTGAATTCCATCTCTTTACCTTGCTTTTCATCCTGGGAAGAATCCTCTATTTATAACCTGACATCTGCCTAGCGATGCTCACAGGCGGTTTTCTGCAAAGGAGTGGTAAGAGAATCATCTTCATCAAAAGCCCAGAACTTGGAATAGGCTTGAGTCCGTAAAAGAGCTTCTCTCCAGCTGGGTACCTTTCCAGTGTGTTTCTGAACAGAAGCGCGGTTGGACTCTGAGCAGCCTCCAGCCTCCAGCCGTGACACCTGCATATCTTGATGCAGTCTGACTCCCAGGTTCCTCAAATCCTTTCTCCTTCGGTATAAATGTCTGTATATTACATCTACATACCACATGTCTAGGTAGCCTTCGTGGCAAAGCAGAATCGAACCACCTGATAAAAGAGGGCCACGGTAGGCTGGGCATGGTGGTTCATGCCTGTACTTTGGGAGGGCAAGGTGGGCGGATCACCTGAAGTTAGGAGGTCGAGACCAGCCCGGCCAACATGGTGAAACCCCATCTCTACTAAAAATACAAAAATTAGCCAGGCATGGTGGTGCGTGCCTGTAGTCCCAGCTACTTGGAAGGCTGAGGCAGGAGAATCACTTGAACCTGGCAAGCAGAGGTTGTAATGAGCGGAGATTGTGCCACTGCACTCCAGCCTGGGCAACAGAGCAAGACCCCATCTCACACACACACACAAAGAAACAGAGGGTCATGGAAAAGATAACTAAGTACCCGAAGGTACGTTTTAGAAAGTCAGAGAATGAAGGTATTAACACTGTATGGCTGAGTACCCCAGGATGGGCTATTATTTGGGATTTATATATTATTCTGATATAATACATATGCAGAACACCAGGCTGAATCATCCCCTCCATTCAACAGATTAGGAAATATAAGACCCAAATATATTAAATAATGCGAATTGGAACTCAGAATCCCTCTCCATCCGCTAGGCCAGACAGCGTCTCTTCTATAAGCATTTCCTCTGCAGAGGCCCTGAGGCCAGTATCAGGCTGCAGGACGTTTTCGGGATGGTGGAAGGGAAGACTCAGATCCTGCCTTCATTGACCTGTCATTCGGCCTAAGAGGGGCCAGGTCCCTCCAGTTTTTCATCCAACAAATCACCAGGAGTGATCCCTGGTGGCTTCAGGGTCTCAATATAATTACCTAAAAAGGATAAAGGTCAGAGAGACAGGAACTATCCATTATTCAGCACCTGTCCATTGCTAAGGCTGATTGTTAATCTTCGCAGCAACCCTGGAAGCAAGTCTGATTATTCCTAATTAAAGAGAGGGAGATGGGGGCCCAGGATGGTCTGTAAATTATTCCCCAGCATGGCTAACAAGTTACAAAGGCGAGATGGGTATCTCATCTGTTTGGTCAGGTGTGACTCCAAGCCTTGTGTCTGTCCTCCCCTACTGCAGGCCGTCCGTCTCCACAGGGGAAAAGTGACATCCTCCTCCCATGTGGCATTTTCAAGAGATCCTGTGTATCCCTTCAGTGTGGTAGCCTGCCAAGACCTGTGGCCAGAGTTCTCCACTGCTCCCTGTGTAGGCAGAGCCAGGAGCAGCCAAGTCAAAGGCGGTGACCCCAGCCCTCCTTGTGACCCACTCTTGGCCATGTTTGCAGAACCAGCGTCCACCTGTAAAGATGGTGTTCAGGACAGGTGCACACCACCACGAGTGGCAGGCTGCCACTCTGAAGGGATACGCTGGATATCTTGGAAATGCCACATTGGAGGAGGAAGAGCCATCTCAAATGGTAAAGCAAGAATTTTCATGACCTGAGACATTTGCTGTTGGTCCCACTAGAGAAGGTCTTGCCATTTTCTGCATTTTCTGACACCGTGGACACCCGCGGAAAGGTGTTCTTTGTTGCACTGTGCTTTTCTGTCTCCTAGAGAGAAAACTTCAGGGTCCACTCGCACCTTGTCATCACCCTGAGCCGTGTCACTCCCGAGACTTACAAGCCCAAGTCCACCATCATCCCAGCTGTAGCATGCAGCAGCTTTCTCACTGCTCCTCCTGTGCTGTTTCTGCGCCATCAGCCACGCCTTCATTTATGGGCTCACAGATGTCCCTTGAGATGTCCCTTGGCGTAAGCACTGCTCTAGGAGCCAAGGACAAAGCAGTGAACAAAACTGATAGACCCTGTCCTCAGGCAATTTCATGTCCATTTCCTCCAGCTTCTGAGATCCTATCAGCCCTGCCTGTTGTATTTTTTTTTACCAATTCAGTGCAAATCCATTGTGCACCCTTCCAGCTACTTCCTGACCCTGGGCCACACCTCCCTTGGCTGCTCACACTTTCTCTGTCTCTCCCTTTCTCTCACACACACACCCACCCCCAGCGCTGGACTGGTCCTATCACACACACACCTTTTATTTCTACCCC